TGTCACTCCCTTCCCTAAAAACTTGCAGTATCTTCCCATTGTTCTTAGTATAAAATTCAAAATCCTTGAAATGGTTTACAGGTCATTTCATGCTTCATAACTGAAATCCCCACCCCCACCCCACTGCTATGCCACATACTCCTCTTTGATCTTAATTCTTCTTTCTTATGGTCTTCACTTAAGGCAGTGTTTTTCAAATTTCACAGAGAAACATCAGAGAGTTGTTAAATTAATCTAGTGAGACAAAAACATAGTGAGACAAAAACAATGTATTTTCTATGGCAAATACACTTTTAAATTATAAATATACAAAATGTAGACATTAAACAAGTCTTTTTTCTTTTGTTCTGTGCCACCAATGTAATTTATGTCTAAGATACTCTAGAGCTACAGCAGCAATAATAAAATCAAAATTTTTCTAGTTGGCCAGACACAGTGGCTTATGCCTATAAACCCAGCGCTTTGAGACCAAGGCGGGCGCAGCGCTTGAGCCCAGGAGTTGAAGACCAGCCTGGGCAACATGGCAAAACCCTATCACTAAAAAGAAATTTAAAAATAAAAAAAAAATTCTAATCAACTCCATAACCTTTTACATATTAAACACACAATGCTCAAAAGAGATTCTTCAAGTTTGTTTAGATGTCTAACTTAAAAAGTAAAATTTTCTAGTAAATGTAAGTGCTAGTACTGTGCCAGTGTCCCTAAAGCTAATTTACCTACATCCCCACAGGAACCACTAAAAGAACCGCAACTTGGAGTACTGCAACCCAAATACTCCAGAGCATCCATACTGAAATCCTCGAAGACACATATACTTTCAACACCTTCTCATGGAATGTCATGAAATTCCTGACCCCACTTTCCACCCCCTAAACCCTGTCTCTGTCCCATCTTCCTCCTCTTATTAGGTTTCTGGAAGAAAACAGCAATAGAAGGACACAGGGACACACATATAGGGAAATTCCCTTAGGGTGCCATGCCCCATCCTGTATAAGTAGAGAATGAATCCATGGTGGCAGAGGGAAGAGAACCTTACTAATAAGGAGAAAAGTCAAAGAAGGGAGAAAGGAAATACTTCTAGTTGATAGAGAAAGGGAAAAATCAAATTTGTCAGGTGCAGGTTACTATGGGCCATCATCTGAGAATATAATCATGTCTGAAAATGTGTCTAGAACATGGCACTAAGCTAAGAGTGCTATTTTTACTGCTACTATAAAAAAAATAGTGTAAAAAAAACTATGTGTAAGTATATAATCTGCATTTCATTGTTGGCTTCAGTTTCTTTAGGAAAACAGACCCTTAAAAGTTAATTAAAAGTTGCTGCCAAATGAAAATCAAGCTTCTGTAAAGATCACAAAAAACGCAAAATAAACCAAGGGGAAAACAGATTTTGCTAAATAAACCTCATTTAGTGTATCTATTATTCATTTACCCAATATGGGCAAATAGCATCGTGGGCCGTACAAAGCAGAAAAACATCAAAATGTGAACCTAAGCTTCAATGTATGAACCAGATAAACACAAAATTACAAACAAAAAAAAAACCCGGTTTCCATGCATTTCATTCTGGAATTTAGACAAAACAATTTAGGGAAAAAAATCTTCCTACTTGCTGACTCTACTTTTTTACTTTCCATTGCTTCCATTCCTTCCTTTGTTGAAGTTTCCAATAATCACATTGTTAGATTTAACCATGACTTTCCACTCAGTTGCTGATGTAAAAAGCTAAAATTATCCCTATTTCCTCTCTTTCTTTTTTTTTTTTTTCTCTTTTTTTTTGAGACACTCACTCTGTAGCCCAAGCTGGAGTGCAGTAATGCAATCTTGGTTCACTTCAACCTCTGCCTTCCAGGCTCAAGCGATTCTCATGCCTCAGCCTACCAAGTAGCTAGAACTACAGGCACGCACCTGCAGGCATGCCTGGCTAACTTTTTGTGTATCAGTTGAGATGGGGTTTTATCATGTTTCCCAGAGTGGTCTCAAACTCCTGAGCTCAGGCGATCTGCCTGCCTCAGTCTCCCGAAGTGCTGGGATTATGGGTATGAGCCACTGTGCCCAGTTGCTATTTCCTCCCTTTCTCTCACCATCCTTATTCAATGCAACAGCAAGTCCTGTCAATTTCTCCTCATGATGCTACATATTTCTTTCCATTTTCTAATACCATGTTAGGCCAAGACACAAACATATTTGGCCTGGACTACTGCTCCCATCTCTTAACCTGTCTTTCTTCTTCCACTTAAGACCTAATCCCTCTACAATGCATGCTACCACTGTAGCCAGGGTAATAAACACACAAATTATGTTACTGCCCTCTTTAAAAGACTCCAAAGGCAGAGTCTTTTAAAGACCTACCACACCACATACTATTGGTGGCATTAGAAAAAAATTCAAATGCTTTATTATCACAGCCAGCCTTGGAGGCCTTGCAGCCTCTGCAATATCTAGGCATTTGCCTACTACCTACTTTCACAATATCTTTCCTCATGGATCCCCTCCACACTCTGACCCACATTCAAGTTAAATATTTTCAGTATTTTTTTACCAATGGCCTTGCACACTCTGCTTAGCTTCCTCTCATCCCTCAGTTTTCAATACAGATGTCACTCCCGCATAAAGCTCTTCACTGACTACTATCTTCACCATCTACCACATGACATTGCTTATTTTCTTCATTTTTATCACAATCTGTAAAAGTGTGTGTGTGTGTGTGTGTGCGTGCACGCATGCCCACACACACATCTGTGTAGAGTGGGACTGGGCTATTAATTGTCCTATATACTACTGTTCCCTAGGGCCCAGAACAATATGGGGCATATGCCAGGCACTCAACAAGTATTTGCTTAATCAATAAATACTCAAAAGGTGGCATGGTCTACAGTGCTGGACTGGAAATGAAATTACCTAGGTTTTATGCAGACTTGGCTCTACCAGCAGCTAGTTGTGTGGCATTGGGTACAATACAAGATTGGAGTGGCTTATGAATAATGAATAACTGGAAGGTAAGCAAGTGAAGACAGCAAGTATGAAGATATTTTTTTCCAAATTTCCCTGTCTAAATTCAAAAATTATAAATATATGGAAATCTTTAACCTCTCTCAGTCTCAGTCTCCTCATCTATATGAGATTTCTTTGATTGTCACTTCAAGTTCAGAAATACCGTAATTAGGCTGGGTGCAGTGGCTCACACCTGCGATCCCAGCACTTTGGGAGGCCGAGGCAGGCGGATCACTTGAAGTCAGGAGTTCCAGACCAGCCTAGCCAACAGGGTGAGACCCCACCTCTACTAAAAATACAAAAATTAGCCGAGCACGGTGGCACTCACCTGTAATCCCAGCTACTGGGGAGGCTGAGGGGGAAGAATTGCTTGAACCCAGGAAGCAGAGGTTGCAGTGAGCCAAGATTGTGCCACTGCACTCCAGCCTAGGTGACAGAGTGAGACTCTGTCTCAGTAACAAAAAAATAAAAATAAAATAAGAAATGTCATAAATTATATGGGCCTAAACCTGAACCTGCCTTACCCACCCCTCACCGACAACCATTCTACTCTCAAGAACCAAATCATAGTATTCATCCTGAAACCAAGCATCCCACAGTGCACTTTACTATCAACATCTGTGCTCATGGGGCTGCCTCTTCTTCAGCTCCAACCACTGGAAATTCTATCCTTCAAAGCCCAGGTCAACTGCTAACTGCTTCATAATCACATAGTCCAAAATGAATACGATCATTATGTTTCAGAACTCCCCTATGCTTCAAATTAGAGTACTCCCTGATCTACCACTACTCACTTGGACTAGTCACTTAACTTCTCTTCGCTTCAGCGTCCTAATCTGTAAAATGGAGATAAAAGGACCTACCACACCACATACTATTGGTGGATAATTGAGAACATTTAGCTTGGTAATAACGTGTTCAATTTAAGCATTATTTCTGTGCTACACCTATTTTTCATGCTTTTTGAAGGCTCCGAAAGAGCATTTTCCATTTCTCAATCTCCCAAGGTTTGACGCCATTTCAACTCTCAATGTTTTGACTTTTCGTAGAAATGTATTAAACCAATTACCATTCCCTCCAAAAATGCTATCTATACCCTTGCAACAATAGCCTAAAGCAAAGATACTGCAGGTGACCTTCCATAAGGATGGGAAATCCAGGGAAATTAAACTACTGCTGTAAACGGAAGTGGTTGGAAGCAAGGAAATTAAAACAACATTCAAGACTTTGAAGATCTCTTTCAAAAACCTGACTCCTGCCACCGTGATGGATCCTTTGAAATGTATTTTTAAGTTGGGTTACAAGGATGAACTCCCAAACAGAAATGTAAAACTGTGCGCTGGAAAGAATATGCAAATTTTTCTGGGGCCAGACTGTCTGCACCAGAGATTAAATGAGTCTGTGCCCTTAAGGGGCGAAAAAGAGGGTGACAATGAAGAGACTAGTCGAGTTAACTCGGAAACCACAATGGACGAGAGTTTAGACATCAAACGCAACCTCAGCTAACCATAACCCCCAACAAATGAGAAGATGACGTAAGACCGGGTGAAGCAGCCTGAGGAGACGCTGGTGGAAGCAGTGCCACTCAGAGCTCTGCACCTTTCCCAGGTCGGCATCCAACCCCTACGGCCCCTGGCGTGAGACCTGGGATGAGGCCCCTCGGCAAACCCCGCTTCCCGCCCGGTACCTGCGGGGTCAAGCGCCATCTCGGCGGGCGGAGAAGAAGGCAGCCCCTTAGCGGCTCCGAGGGCAAGCGGGGAGGGGAGTAGAGGGGAGGGAAGTAGAGGGGAGGAGCTTGGGATCGGACGCGCGAGCGACCTCCGGGAGCTTCGGGAGCTTCCCGCAGCAGAAACGCGGCGCCCTTTGCAAAGCACCAACAGGCCCCTTTCCCTCTTCCTTCCCGGGTTTTTACTTCCGCCGCCCGTTGCGCCTGCGCTCCCCTGGCCCCGCCCCAATCGTGTAGCGAGTGGAACTGACTTCGCTGAGGGAATGACCAGGGAAGGGGGCGTGGCTGCGCTCATTCGGGGCGGGGCCGCGCAGGACGCGCGCAGCCTAGCTTCGTGAGGCCTGAGCAACGGTTGCTGACGTGAGTCTGCGGTGACTGGAGCCGGAGCTGCAGGACTTTGGGACTGCGCCTCACTCGGTAACTGGGTCCAAGTCCGAGCCCCGCCCCCCATACCCGCCTTCGGAGAACCCAATGAATCATTCAGTTCCTTTATTTTTTTCTTCGGTAACGTTCATTCATTCATAAATGTCTGTTCCATGGCTGCCAAATTCCAGCCACGGTTCTGAATGCGAGAGGAAAATAACCAGAAAAATAACGTCCCTGTTCTCAGGGAGCGGTGTGGCGGAGGAGACGAATAAAAACACGCTGTTAAATGTGGTAAACGTCACACACGCTAGGTGTGCACAGCTTGTTCTCCATAAAGGTGCTGTGGTCTGTGCAATATCGTTATTTCTCCTTCAAATCAAAGACTACGGCTCTCCTAGAGGTTAAAATGCGGGCTCTAGAAGTACCTCTGTGTTGTAAAATCATGTCCTCAGGGCGTACGGGCTGATTTGGGTGATGTTACAAACCCGCCTCTACCGTAAAAGCTGTATGTTTTGTGAGAGTAAAATGAAGAAAGGTAATAGCCGTCCCGCTGAAGTCCCCCTACTAACCTCTTCTCAGTGGAAGAAACTTTCTAGCTGGTACTAAGGTTCATTTCCACTCACAAACCAGCCTTCAGAAGTGCCTCCTTGTCAAATTTATGTTTAACTGTCTCGAGCCACCGAAGGGTGAGGTGCGGCCTGGGACAGATGGGACAGATGTTTAGAAAAACAAGGAGCAGCTGCTTCTTCCCTGCAAGGGATTTAGGGCTTTCAAAATGATCCCCTCCCCACCTACCTGCAGTCCCTCCTCCCCTGCTGCTGCTTCCGCCTGGTCAGTTGGCAGAAAAGCTGAGGCAGTTGAGCAGGGCTGGGAAAGTGGGTCTCTGCTCAGCAGGTCTTCCGTTTAAGGGCCTATTTGGGCATAACGGCCCTTATTACAGCTGTAGGTTGAGGTGCCAAGGTGAAGAATTAACGTTTCACTCACCCAGCCGGGGAATCAGGTCCTTTTCCTTTTATGTTTTGTAAATATGCTTAGAAATACACCAACATGCCTCTGGTGTGTCTCTTTTATTGTTCTGAAGGCGAAGGATTTGATTTAGAAAGCTAAAGCAAATCTTTTTGAGAATATCGAGTATTAAAACACAGGTCAGACACCTCTATTCAAGTATTAGATTAAGCTAAATCTTTCTATACGCAAAAGGGTATTATGGTAAAGAGGGAAAGTTTGAAGAGCTTCAGTCAGAAAGACCTGGCTTTTTTCACTTGAAGCCTGTAGCATGATCTGTTACCTTAGTGACTTCAATAAGTTCTATCATTTTTCTGGACTTCGGTTTCTAATTTGCAAGGTTGTTCTGAGGAATAAATGTGACATCATATAATGCATTTGAAATACATTGAAGGACCACCTCTACCGTTTTTGCCATGGCTATCACTTGAAACATTACTGTTTAACATTTGTTTTTAAATCAACTCACTTTTTAAAAACACTTACATAGGCACTATTTAGCCTTATCCTCAGCAACAGTATCTGTAAAATCATGGGTTTTGTGTGTCCCATAAAATGAACTGCTAGCCATATCACACTGGGAGAAGCACTAGCAAAAGTAATAGCCCAATACCCAATACATAATAGCATATCTCTCTCTACTCCCATGTTAAACTAGATACTTTGGGGGAAAACTAGGTACTTTGGGGAAAACTGAATCTTCGCAACCTAACTAGGTAAGATGAGTCATTTTTTAAGTTAAGCAAATGTAATTGGCAATTAACAACAAGAAATTTCCTGAGGCATCGCCTTATTAGTAGACAATTATTTGGGTAGTAATTGCAATAGAAACTCAAGGAAATAGCAGAGGACATCATCCTGGAAATTAAGAACAGTGTCTTACTCAATTGTGATCCCTAGAGCTCAATGTCTGGTCACTGGTGACCCCACAGAAGCCTTTCTCAAAAGACTGAATGCTGGAATGGTTAGGAAAGACTTCAAAGATAAGTTATAAGTTATGCTTGGCCTTGAAAGATGGGCAGAATGAGCAGACAGAAAAAAAGGCATGTCGTGCTAGGAGAAAAATGAGATCAAAATCTTCTGGGATTTGAACTGCTCTTAAAGGAGCATGGTGGAGCATGGCAGAGATGCAGGCTAAGGAATGGAACCATATGAACAAAAGCACAGGGTTGGGAAGCACTGTGCTGTGTGGCAGGCATGTGGTGGGCAGTGCTTGAAATCACTTGAATATATTTGAGGATTTGGAAAGCTAGGGCAATTATGCATTGGCTAGAAAAGGCCAGACTCCCACAGCCTTAAACATTAGACAGAGGTGTGTTTGAATGTGTTGCTATAAGGAACAAGACTCCATTGGAGGTTAACATACAGGAAAGGAGCATTGTGGTCAAAATTTTCTAAAGGTGTTTTACGCAAGTTTTGTGCAGGATTGATTTAGGTAGCAAGGAAAGAGCTAAAAGGCAAGCGGAAAAGTAAGGAGGCTATTGTGCTGGTTTGGGCAAGATCTGAAAAGAGCCTAAACTGGGATACATAAAAATATAAAAGGATGAACGTGGGAGTAATTGCAAAGGAAGAAACTACCTTTCAAAATTGGATTTAGGAGATTAGGACCAAGAGTCAAGATTTCCAGATTATTCCTTTTTTTGGCAAATATATACAGACAAATGAGAAAATCATGGCAATGTGCCTATTCATGCCTAAAATGATCTGCCCTTGATCTTCATTATTGGGGGCTAAGAGTGGTGATAATGAAACAGAAAGGTCAGTTCAGAGAAATTTGCAGTAATCCAGGGTAATAACAGTTGAACCACAGTGAATTTCTCTTTGCATGTGAAGGCAAAGGAATGTGCAAGTGGAAACAAATATCTTAATTATTTTTGAGTCAGTTGTGACCAGATCTAACATTCTTTTGTGCTATATGTTGATATTCAGTTAGTTATTTTTTGAAATTGAGATTGTCAGTCAGCCCCTGCTTGCTTCTGACTCTTCTTAGCATCAAAATTAAAGACTTTTTCATCTGTAGCTCGGCTCTGCTACAGATGAGAATCAAACTTGAAATCAATGAGATTTCACACTTGAGTCAATAAGAATCAAACTTGAAAGAATATTAGAAGCCCCATCTCTACCAGAGGATAGGATTGAGAAGTAGTTATTGGCCAGAAGATCAATAACCAAGGGTTCCTGGTGGCCCTGCCTACTTTCTGAGCTGTATTATTTAGCACCCGGTTGGCATGGCTTGTGCCTTCTGTGGTTTGAAAGGACTTAGGCCCATCTTGACATTTATATTATTTGCTAGGACTGTCATAATAAAGTGCCACAGTCTGGGTAGCTTAAACAACAAAAATATTTTCTCACAATTGCAGGGTAGAAGTCTGAGATCAAAACTGTTAACAAGGATGCTTTTGCCTGAGGCTTCTTTCTCTTCTTGGCTTGTAGATAACATCTTCTCCTGTGTCTTCATGTGGTCTTCCCTGTGTGTAGCTGTGTGTCCTAATGTCTTCTTATAGGGACACCAGCTATATTGGATTGGGACCCACTCTAATGAATATCCTAATGGCCTCGTTTTGCCTAAACTACCTGTTTTAAAACCCTGTCTCCAAATGCAGTCACATTCTGAGGTGCTGGGGGCTAGGACTTCAACACAAGAATTTTGGGAGACACAGTTCAACTGATAAAAACATTCAAAATTTTTTTTTTTTTTTTTCCGAGACGGAGTTTCGCTCGCTCTTGTTACCCAGGCTGGAGTGCAATGGCGCGATCTCGGCTCACCGCAACCTCCGCCTCCTGGGTTCAGGCAATTCTCCTGCCTCAGCCTCCTGAGTAGATGGGATTACAGGCACGCACCACCATGCCCAGCTAATTTTTTGTAGTTTTAGTAGAGACGGGGTTTCACCATGTTGACCAGAATGGTCTCGATCTCTTGACCTCGTGATCCACCCGCCTCGGCCTCCCAAAGTGCTGGGATTACAGGCTTGAGCCACCGCGCCCGGCTACATTCAAATTTTTTATAAGGACTACAATTATTCCCTGAATCCCAGATCACTTGGCTAGAGCCCTGAGAACCTGCCTAGCGTTCATCTCTCACCAGAATAAAATACTTTGTCCCTGTTTTTCTGACTTTTAAATAGGGCCTGCTTTAATCTGACTCAGTTCACCTGTCCACTGCAGTCAGCTCCTGTCTGTCCCTCATTCTCTACATCTGATTGATCAGAATATCTACTCAGTTCTCCTTCCTTAAGATATCTTTATTATATCTGCCAAACATAATCATAACTCTTAGTGCAAGATCTTCCCATTTTTGCTGATATTGTTATAATAGTTCTGAAATGGCTCTCTGTTCCTAGGCATTTCTTCTTCCCACTTATTCTCTCTAATCCATTTCACCCACAACAGCAAATTGATCATAAAATTTCCTATATAAAATTCCCAGTAAGAGACAACCTATGGAATGGGAGAATATATTTGAGAACCGTACAAATGATAAGGGGTTAACATCCAAAATATATAAGGAATTCAAACAATTCCATAGCAAGAAAACAACCCAATTTAAAAATGGGCCAAGAACCTTAACAGGCATTTCTCAAAAGAAGACATATAAATGATAACAAGTATGTGAAAAAAATGTTCAATGTCATTCATCATCAGGGAAATTCAAATTAAAACCACAGTGAGATATTACTTAATATCTGTTAGAATAGCAGAAATACAGGAAGGTAATAAAACGTTGATGATGATATAGAGAAAAGAGAACACTTACACACTGCTGGTGGGAAGGTAAATTAGTATAGTCATTATGGAAAACAGTCTGGAGGCACCCCGAAAACTTAAGAACAGAACTACCATATGATCCAGCATTCCCACTACTGGGTATATATTCAAGGGATATGAAATGAGCCTGCTGAGAAGATATCTGTACTCCCATGTTTTATTGCAGCATAATTCACAATAGCCAAGGTATGGAATCAACCTAAGTGTCCATCAACAGATGAATGGATAAAGAAAATATGGCATATATACACAATGGAACACTGTTCCACTCTAAAAAGAGAAATTTTGTCATTTGCAACAACATGGATGAACCTGGAGGACATGATGTATCCTTCAATTTTAAAAGAATCTTCTGTGAAATAGCCTTGGCACAGAAAGAAAAATACCCATTATCTTACTTATATGTGCAGTGTGAAAAAGCCAAACTTCTAGAGAGTAAAATGGTGGTAATCAGAAGCTAAGGGTTTGGGGACCTCGGGGAAACGTTAATAAAAAAATGGAAAATATCAGACAGGAGGAATAAGTTCAAGAGATCTACTGTACATAATGGTCGCTTCAGTTAGTAACAATATACTGTCTATTTGAAAACTGCTACTAAGAGATTTTAAGTATTCCCATTACAAAAAAAAATTATGTGGAGTAATGCATATGTTAAATAACTTTATTTTGCCATTGCATAATATATATATTTAAAAACATCATGATGTACCCTATAAATATATACTATCTAACTTGCCAATTGAAACAAATGCATACATACATACATACATACATACATACATAAATCCTCCGTATTTCCCTATGTAAATAAAATTCAAACACCTTCTTTTAACAAGGTTCATAAAATTCTTTATAAACTTAGTCCCAGATTACTATATCAACTTTTCTTAACCAACCTCTTTGAAATCTGCAATTTGTGCTATGTTAATTTACATGCAACAGTTTGTTAAATTATCTGTAAAGACTTCTTTGCACTATCCTGGAAAAATGGGTAAGAGTTTGTATTTAATATAAAAACTTGAAACTGATTGCAGAAAAAGTATCTAGTGAAAAGAGAGGACCATTGGAACTAAACAGATTGACATAGTTTGGATATATGTACTCATCCAAATCTCATGCTGAATGTAATACCCAGTGTTGGAGGTGGGGCCTGTTGGGAGGTGATTGGATCATGGGGGCAGATTTCTCATGAATGGTTTAGCACCATCCTATTGGTACTGTCCTTGCGATAGTGAGTGAGATCTTGTGAGATCTGTTTAAAAGTGTGTGGCACCTCCCTTCTCTCCTGCTCCTGCTCTGGCCATGTGACATGCCTGCTCCTCCTTCACAGTCCATCATGATTGCAAGTTTCCTGAAGCCTCCCCAGAAGCCAAGCAGATACCAGCTTCATGCTTCCTGTCCAACCTACAGAATTGTGAGTGAATTAAACTTCCTTTCTTTGTAAATCACCCAGTCTCAGGTATTTCTTTAAAGCAATGTGAGAATGGCCTAATACACAGAGCTAAACTCATTTTTCTCCCCTACTTTACTTAACTGCTTTTATTGAGATATAACTTATTTACGATAAAGATTATAAATCTTTGTACAGCTAAATGAGTATTTACATATGTATACATATGTCAAAATATAGAACATTTCTAGCCATCCAGAAGGTTCCTTGTGAAGTCTGTTTAAAAGTGTGACACCTCACCTCTCTCCTGCTCTTCTCTTAATAAAACCTCTCTCCACAAAATTAACTACTCTTGTAACTTCTTTGAGCATTGATTAGTTTTGCCTGTTTTTGAACTTCATATATAATCATACAGTGTGTAGTCTTTCATATCTGGCTTTTTTTGCTGAACTTTGTGGCTATGAGATTCATTCATGTTGTTGTATAGAGAAAGATAGCTGCTCTGCTACTTTTAATGTAACATTTGGTAAATGGTTTATCTTCCTGGGCCTCAATTTTTTTATCTGTAAAAATATAACCTACCTCTGCATGATTAATTTAAACCTTAATGATGCCCTGTTACACTGACAGTGGTGTCTGTCTCACACACAGTAGGCCATTCTTAAACTGTAGCTATTGTTGCTATGATGATTATCCTTTAGATCCTCTGTTTCTCTATTTTCACTGTTGAAAAACTGTTCTTCTGAACTATTATTACATGATATATAGGTTTTAAAAATTTTTATTCAGAGCTAATCTGCATTCAAGGACTGAAATCTAGGCAATAATGGGTTTAAATCAGTATTATGTGAAACAACCTACAAATGAACAAAGGAGATTTAGCAGTGTGCCCTATCACTCATCAGGTGAGAAAAAAAAAAAAGTGTGAAATATCACCTCTCACCTCTGCAGAAGGCTTTCTGTATTTTATGTTTTGTTTTCACTGTGTATGGTTTTCTGGTGGCCTCCTTTGAGACAGACCACAGTATTCTCTGGGGTCAGAGGCTCTATTCCTAGAAAATAAAATAATTTTTAAAAATAATAATAATACTATGACATGACTTATATTGGATTTCTCCTATCTTGGCTTTGTGCAGGTGCTATGATCCTTTGTAGAATTTCTCATAAGAACTGACAAAAGACAGGAGTGCTTTTTGTTGCACACTGAGCCTTAAATATCAGTGACATACCAGTTAGTGAGTCAACTGCACCAAAAACATGTAGGGACCTTTTGCTCATTTAAAGGAAACAAAGTTATGAAAGCTTTAGTGACTTAACACCAAGTATCTCTGCCTGCTAATCTGAAAGAGGACAAATGTCTTAATTTACCACCATTCCTCCTTCAGATCAGAGAACTTTCCATATGCCATGTACTGTACTGAAGTCTGGGAAAATAAAGATGAGTAAGTTGAGGTTCCTGCCTTTAAGTAACTCAAAGTCTAGAGGGAGAGATAAAAACATATGAATAATTACAGCTCAACTGATAGATGATGATATGGGAGCCCAGAGAATGGAGAAATTAATTTGACTTCCAGAAGACTTTATGTACATGCTTATGTCTGAAGTAGGTCTTAAAGAATAACTAAATTTTCAACAAGAGAAAGACAAATAGAGTTCTCGTTGACAAAGCTTTTCCCATGTAGAATAAGTGTGGGATTACTTTCATGCCCCATGAAGGTGGCTAAAATATTTAGATTATCCACTACTATTTGGAGTCAAACAAGATACAAGAAAAAAAAAAATCTAATGTTGAGTACTGCTATCAAGTTTCAATGCTTTCTTCCAAGTGCTGTGCCCAAACAAAACAATCCCATATCACTGATTCTGGTATCTTTACCAATTAGACATGAAGCATTAGCCCAGATGAAAACCTCCCAAAGAACTCGGGCCTTGACCTTCAGTAAAGAAGAGTTTGTTTACATTGAGTTCTGTTAATTTGATTCTGTGTCATGGAGCCAGGGATCTCAAGGTATGGATTAAAGATGTCCTATAAAAATAAGGTATTGCTGTTGTTACTAAGTCACATGATGATCTGCTTTTTGAGGAGAGAGATTGTGTCTTACGTGCTATGGCATTTCCTCCATTTCTCACTGGACCTGGCATCACAAATGCTTATTGAACAAATTCCTGTTAATGGAGAATGTAAGGGCATCGTGTAAAACTAAAGTGGGTCACATGACCCACCAATTATTTCTCATTAATACCATTTCTATTCTTTTACCTGTTCCTAACTCTTGCCTGAATTCTGACACTATTTTTGTATTTTCTGGTTATTTGGTACAGGTACTTCGAGGATCCATATGCTTAAAGAGTGTTTTTTTTAACTCAGGACATGTGGTATACATTTCTGGTATTGTCTGCTTGGCATCTTGCTCTTCTTTTGGAAACTATTCCTCCCCGATTAGTTATATGGTTTCTACCAGTATCCTCGTGTCCTTACATGACATCTCTCCTTACATGTATTCATTGGTCCAAAAATGAATACCTGGCCTATGAAAGTTTGATGAAATTCTGTCCTAGAAATTTTAGATGTGGGTCTAAGCATGTCAGTGTTTTTGTTTTTTTTTTTTTTTTAGCTTTTTTTTTTTTAATTGTACTTTAGGTTCTGGGGTACATGTGCAGATCATGCGGGATTGTTGCATAGGTACACACATGGCAATGTGGTTTGCTGCCTCCATCCCCCCGGCACCTACATCTGATATTTCTCCCCTTGTTATCCCTCCCCGACTACCCCACCCCCCCACTGTCACTCCCTTGCCCCCACCAACAGACCCCAGTGTGTGATGCTCCCCTCCCTGTGTGTCCATGTGTTCTCACTATTCAAGACCCACCTGTGAGTGAGAATATGCGGTGTTTGATTTTCTATTCTTGTATCAGTTTGCTGAGAATGATGGTTTCCAGATTCATCTATGTCTCTACAAAAGACATGAACTCATCGTTCTTTATGGCTGCATAGTATTCCATGGTGTATATGTGCCACATTTTCCTTGTCCAGTCTATCGTCGATGGGCATTTGGGTTGGTTCCAGGTCTTTGCTATTGTAAACAGTGCTGCTATGAGCATACATGTTCATGTGTCTTTATAATAGAATGATTTATAATCCTTTAGGTGTATACCCAGTAATGGGCTTGCTGAGTCAAATGGAATTTCTATTTCTAGTTCCTTGAGGAATCGCCACACTGTCTTCTACAATGGTTGAACTAGTTTACACTCCAAACAACAGTGTAAAAGTGTTCCTATTTCTCCACATCCTGTCCAGCATCTGCTGTCTCCCGATTTTTTAATGATCGCCATTGTAACTGGCATGAGGTGATATCTCAATGTGGTTTTCATTTGCATTTCTCTAATAATCAATGATGTTGAGCATTGTTTCATATGTTTGTTGGCCTCATGTATGTCTTCTTTTGAAAAGTGTCTGTCTATATCCTTCGCCCACTTTTGGATGGGTTTGTTTTTTTCTTGTAAATCTGTTTTAGTTCTTTATAGATTCTGGATATTAACCTTTTGTCAGATGGGTAGATTGCAAATATTTTTTTCCCATTCTGTTGGTTGTTGTTCACCCTAATGATTGTTTATTTTGCTGTGCAGAAGCTCTGGCATTTAATTATGTCCCATTTGTCTATTTTGGCTTTTGTTGCCAATGCTTTTGGTGTTTTAGTCATGAAGTCCTTGCCTACGCCTATGTCCTGAATGGTTTTGCCTAGGTTTTCTTCTAGGGTTTTTATGGTGTTAGGTCTTAAGGTTAAGTCTTTAATCCATCTGGAGCTAATTTTAGTGTAAGGTGTCGGGAAGGGGTCCAGTTTCTGCTTTCTGCACACTGCTAGCCAGTTTTCCCAACACTATTTATTAAACATGGAATCCTTTCCCTATGGCTTGCTTTTGCAAGGTTTGTCAAAGATCAGATGGTTGTGGATGTGTGGTGTTGCCTCCAAGGCCTCTGTTCTGTTCTATTGGTCTGTATGTCTGTTTTGGTACCAGTACCATGCTATTTTGATTATTGTAGCTTTGTAGTATAGTTTGAAATCAGGTAGCATGATGACTACGGCTTTGTTCTTTTTGCTTAGGATTGTCTTGGCTATGCAGGCTCTCTTTTGGTTCCATATGAAGTTTAAGGTGATTTTTTCCAGTTCTGTCAAGAAGGTCATTGGTATCTTGATGGGGATAGTATTGAATCTATAAATTACTTTGGGCAGTATGGCCATTTTCACGATATTGATTCTTCCTAACCATCAACATGGAATGCTCCTTCATTTGTTTGTGTCCTCTCTTATTTCCTTGAGCAGTGGTTTGTAGTTTTCCTTGAAGAGGTCCTTTACATCCTTTATTAGTTGTATTCCTAGGTATTTTATTCTCTGTATAGCAATTGTGAATGGGAGTTTGCTCATGATTTGGCTCTGTGTAGTCTGTTATTGGTGTATAGAAATGCTTGTGATTTCTGCACATTGATTTTGTATCCTGAGACTTTGCTGAAGTTGCTTATCAGTTTCAGGAGATTTTGGGCTAAGATGATAGTGTCTTCTAAATATACAATCATGTCATCTGCAAATAGAGACAATTTGACCTCCTCTTTTCCTAATTGAATACTCTTTATTTTTTTTTTCCTTTTCTAATTGCTCTGGCTAGAACTTCCAATACTATATTGAATAGGAGTGGGGACAAAGGGCATCCTTGTATAGTGCCAGATTTCAAAGGGAATGCTTCCAGTTTTGGCCCATTCAGTATATGGGCTGTGGATTTCTCCTAAATAGCTTTTATTGTTTTGTGATACATTCCATCTGTACCTAGTTTATTGATAGTTTTTAGCATAAAGCTGTTGAATTTTGTCAAATGCCTTCTCTGCATCTATCAAGATAATCATGTGGTTTTTGTCTTTGGCTCTGTTTACGTGATGGATTACATTTATAGACTTGTGTATGTTGAACCAGCCTTACATCCCCGGAATGAAGCCTACTTGATCGTGATGGATAAGCTTTTTGATGTGCTGT